TAGAAGTAGTAGAATAGGCTAGTAGAGGCCTTAGTGTTGCTTCTAGAGGCTAGTAAGAAGTTAAACAACAAGTAAATAGCTTTTAATATCTATTCCTAGAGTTCTCTAGTAATAGAGAGCTAGGCAAGGTTAGTAAAATAATCTAGATAGCTATTAATAGCTGTAGCCAAGTTCTAAATAATGTTATAGCAAGTTTTAGTAGCCTTTTAGTCTACCTAAATGCGCTAGCAAATAGCGTCTAAGATAGCTTAGTGTCTTAATAGCGTGCTCTTACTAATAGAAGCTATAGCGTAATTAAGTTTGCGCTGTTATCTCTTGTTAGAGGCACGTAAATTCCTGTAAGCTAGGCTCTTAGAGTTATCTTGTTAAGTTTAGAGAAGCTACATAAGTATAGCAAACTCTTAGGCGTTGCTACATTAGCTATTCTAAACTGTCTACGCGCAAGCGTAGATGCTTAGTTAGCTAAGGTAGTTAGAGGCTACTACTGCAGATTAATTAGTGCAAAAATATTAGTAAAAAGTTAGAGTCCTAGAATCCTAAAAAGTTAGTGTTCGGTGGCAGCAGGGGTAGCAGCAAGGCGCTGCGCACAAAGAACAACTACGTTCTAGACGTAACGAAGCGTTCAAATAGCTCGAGCGAGAACGCGAGAGACATTCAGGTCGTTACGGACATTCACGTAGAGGTGGATAGTGCCAATAGAAAGAGGCTAAGCGGCTGGAGAACGCCCGCTTCGCAGGCCACCTAGGCGGACAATATTTCCCGCAAGGAAACACAAAGAGAGAACAGCACCAAGATGCTAGTAGACGAAAATCCGCGTGCGTCGAGGTAGATCCGAGACTTTTCTTTTGTTCAGGCCACACACTTTGACATCACTTTGTTACGATACCCCATGACCTACCTACTATTAATAGAGAGTAATTCGACTCTTGTAATGCCCTCACTCTTATATCTTTGTAATTATTCGACTGTTCTCACGACTGTGCGCGTGAGCGTCGCTTTCTCATCCTCAATCGCTACCTACCGGAACCTCGGTCCTGGTGAAGAAGATGCTGTCCCGCACAACTATCCCGTTTCTTTCTACTTTCATTCATGACCAGAGATCTCGGTTCACGCCGTCTTTGTGAGAGTCATGACCTATCCCCTATGCAGGCCGTTCTTCCCACGACGCCTTGTGCTCATTCAATCCCATCTTCCTGGATGGCCAACCGTTCGAACCAAGCCAGTGCTTTCGGGAAGAGAATCATAATGATCCAATGGAAGCTTTTTGGCTCTTGCGCTGATTTCCATTTCGCCCAGATGCTAGGTGTTTGGCGAATATCGTTGATTCTAAGTCGTACAAGCATCAAGCACCTCGCTGAGCGCGTTGATGTACATCTATCGCTGCGCAGGACCACTCTGGGGTCAGCATCTACCTATACTGCCTATAGTGCAGCTTTCCAGAATCTCCACGATATATACCTTGCATCATAAAGAGGAGGCATCGCAAGCGTGAGGAACTTCGCCAAGCCCATACGTGATGGCCGCACAAGCCCATTCACGTGCATTCACTCGCAGGTATGACTAGTGTGGAGCTAGTGTAGCCAGCGCTACAGCTGACACTACTCTCTACTTAACCCAGGGGTACTTTCAGCCTCCGAGCGCTGGGCCACCACCACTTCTCGCAAGCTCGCATTTACTCCACCAGTAACTGCAGCTTTGCACAGCTAACAAGGGCGCCGGTTTCAACTCCACTATCGACGTACAGCCTGTCTGTATGGTATACAGAGCCTGTCTGCACGCCAAAAAGGTACCAGCAGTCATTATGGCGCCCGCTGCTGCGGTCACAAGCGACGGTCGCGCATCATCTGCGCATCCAAGGTCAGTGATTGCCTTCTCCAACTACACGATATATCCCCTAACTCTTCCCAGTGAGCGTGCACGATACGCAGGCCAGGCTATCCAAACGTCCATGTCGTACTGGTCCGCAACTACGTACACATCCGTCGCCCCAAGCACACGGGCGCCGACTATGTCGCGCCACTCATTCGCTGCTTCCGATTCGTCCCAAGTGCGAGCTTTCAACGACTTCCAGTCGCGCGGCCCCCATAACTCACAGCCTGAGTTATTCGGATTGGAGTTCCACGCCGAACATTCCACCACCAAAGGCCCTCAGTGGCTCCAGCAGCGGGCCACGGTCGATGGATGCTCGACCACCGTTAACACTACTGGCCAAACATCGCTCGTTGAGAAGTTCGCTATCTTCGTGGTCTGCGCGTTCTTTGTACTATGGATAGTACGATCTGCCGCTGAGAGTATCTTCACTCTTGTTCCCTTGGTCGGCCTGGTATGGTTGATGTTCGGCGGTTTCCAGATACTTGAGCAGCAACAGCAGTCAGCTCAGCCGTCGCCGATGATAGACGACGACGACGACAGGTCTTGCGGTGTTTGTACTACTGGAGACATCGTGCCCTTGATTGAGGTAATGATGCTCGACCGACAGACCGCTCATGAAGAGTCAAAAGTGCCACAGTGGTTAGCCAGCTTTCGGGATATGTCTGTAGGCAGCGACCAGTGGATGTCGTCGCTTGAGAACGAAGAAAGTTTGTCTCTCGCTGCCGACATCGCACCAAGTGCTCAAGGTCCTACGGGGATATCTCATACTACCGAACCCCAGTGCGAAATCGTTGGAGACGAAGACGTTGTCGGAGACGAAGACACTGTCGAAGCTGCTTGCTCCAGTGGTGACCAGATAGCAGCACTTCAGCGTCAGCATGGCAACCCTGTCTTCAACGACACCGATCAATGGGCCCCGGGTGGTCGACTTTATAACCAACGCATGGCCAATAATCTTGAACCTATCTTTATTGATGGCCATGGTCAGGCATACGAGGATGTCGACGGATGGTTTGGACGACCCACCGAAGCAGATGCGCAGGACATCGCCTTCCTTCTACACGTTTTGGAATCGCATCTTCCGGAAAATCTGAAAGCCGCGATTGGAGCCCAGTCTTTGGATACCCTTATCAAGACGCGGTCACAGAATGGCGAGAATGCCCTCCTCCAGGAACTCGAAAAGTGTTGGTACATCATGTGCCCCGGTACTGTTGTCGCGCCCGGTTCACCCATCAAGACATTGCAGGATATCAAAACCATCATCGAGGGAAACCGGAGAAAATTCACCCCTGCATGTCACTTTGATGTACGCCATTATGTGGGGCTAGATCACCCTTGCCGACCATATCTCACGGAATATGAAGAGATGGCGATCAATGAAGGCATCTCAGACTACAACATGCGTAACTGGGAGATTACCTTCAAACCCTCCTTCATTCGTGAAGTCACGAAGGGCAAGCCAGAGCACGCCTTGCTCGAAAGCTACGAGAGGATTCCCGACTGGATGGAAGACATTGACCAAGGCGGCCTACTTGATCCGAATGCCTTCCACGAGTGTCCATGCGGACAGGTCGCGATGTCAACGCTCGGTAGCTACCGCGACGAAAAGGAGCATAACTACAAGGAGATGAAGGGCTTTGAATCGGCCTTCCCGATTGAAGTCCTCGACGGTAGCGAGCTCCATGACGCCATGGCTGACCTGGTTCAGTTCCCGGATTATCCCGAGCATGCGACACCGCATCGTTCCCAGGAGATTGTACAGAACTGCGAGCTGCACAAAACAATTACCAAGAACATCTTTGTTCTAGTTGACACATCAGTCGAAGACCTGAACGAGCGCATCAGCCATCCTGCTGGTTTACTTCCTGCTCCGGGAATTACATCCTCGTCTTACCCTTCTGGTTTTCAGACTACCATCGGTTTCTCGGAGATTCCGTATCCTCTACTCGCTCCTCGGTGTGAGCACGGTCGCTTGCATCAGGTTGAGTTCACGCCTCAGACGATGGCGAGCAGGATGATGAATGCGAGTCAGATCGGCTGTACACACTGCTTTCCGCACGGCCACATTGTTACCCGATGCCAGGAGTGTCTAGAGCATTGCTATGCCCTGGCTGCGCCGCACGGCATGTGGGCGCAGCTCGACGCCGCATATCATCCAACAGTGGACTTTGCTCAAGAGCAGCACCAGGGTCACGACTTGGCACAGAATGTGCAGTCTAGGCGGGCAAAAGCCTTGATCGCTGGTACTGCGCGCGGTACTCTCCATTCACCCGGTATGTCCTTTCTTGGTCCTCTTGTTAGATCTCCGGCTGACCTCAAACCTGCAGGCCGACAGCAGTATGCCAACTTCCCCATTAACCCAGATTTCGAGGCTGCGATGCAGCGCGCCAACTGGGAATGAGCCTTTGAATTTGCCCGTCTTGGGAGCGAGTTTGTACTATTATCACCCATGTCGTTCCTTTAATCGCTGATTTGATCGAGATCGTGGACGATCTCAAATGTACTCATTCCTCTTGATTTGTTCAGCGTTTGATACCCGGTTTGCTGTTCTATGAACACCATCTCTGTTTGCTCATGTTAGCCATATAATGCGCATATCCGACTTGTATGTTAGCCATATAAATGCGCATACCCAACTCGCAAGTCATCAGTCTTATTAGCTTCAATTCACTCATATACCAAATAATGCCCCATCGCTGTGAACAGTTCGATTCACTTCGCAACTATGCTTAGGCAGTGCAGGCAATTACTTTCACTGGACGATAATGACGGGTTCTCGCGAGCAGCACTGCCCATTTGGATGCCCCGAGTCGTTCATTCACCGTAGTCTGTGCTGCTCCCTGAGCTAGACCCGGGGTGGCTCTTGGCTACGCCTTTGCGACTGAACCCTCGCTCGGTATATATGTCCACGCTCGCGCTGCAGAGTGTACTATACCTCCATCATACCATACCAACCACTTCAACCCATATCAGCTCACAGCACTAATTGTACTCGCCTGGAACTTACCACAATTACACTAAGAAGGCCTTAGCCGTGAAGGTGGGCTATCCACTCCACCGGCACCATCCCCAACCACCCCCTGATACCATTGCCGCAAGCGCTGGTCCAGACGAAGCGCGTCCACGAGATGTCCAGCGGCCTGTCTACCTTCACACCGGCTACGACAAAGGAAGACCCCATTGTGCAGATCGCCAGGCTGTCAGGCGTTCCCGGGTTAGTTTCATCTTTGGTGTTCAATGCAGACCAAGTGCTAAATCACCGCAGTCATACTATGCAGTCACCCAACAAGGTCTTTCCGCCCACTATAATGGTCACGGCACCATCGTCGTTCGCGGATCCGCTCTCGACATCTGCAAACATCGGAAGCGTACTGCGTACCTCCGCGACTTCGAAGCTCCATGTTGAGATGATTGAAGACGACGATGACGAAGACTGCGAGTATCCTGCTTATATCAAGTCGCTGGGTCCGAAATTCCGCGGAGTAGAAGAACTCGTCAGCCATCCCAAAGCAGACAACCATGGCTTTGGCCCGGCGAGCCGCATGGCGTCATCATCTGTAAGCTCCAGTTTCGACTATGAGGGTGAGTTCAAAGACTACAAGTATACCCACGGGATTCTCGAAGAAATGGGCGTTGAATGCGATGACCTGGCTATCATGGCATACACCCTCGCTTACTTCAGTGCCGAGATACCCGATGGTGGCCAAATGATCATGGCATTATTCCATGATGCGTATACGAAACACCAGACGGGCCATCCAGCTTTCCATGGTGACAAAGTCAGCGACGAGGTTCAACAGCACTTCCTGGACCTAGCTTGCGATGTGTCCAAACACAAGCCACACTTGCATCTTCACGCAAGGAAATTCGGATCTGTTGTGGATGAGGAAGAGCCTCGCCTGAACATCGGTAGCTTTGAGCACCCTCGGCAGTTTCCAGCGGTGTGGAACGAAGACTTCGACGAAGTTCCGTTGCCTCTTAGAGAAGAACGTGTCGTTGTTGGACTAGTCCGCTCCGGTACTCAGCGCAAGATCATCTACGAGAAGATGAAAGTGCGCAAAGATGTGCCAGACGACCCAATGGAATTCTCGTCTTGTCAAAAGGGCCTTGAAGCCGCCCGCGCGCTCGCAGAGTATCAGAACGACACTGAGCAGATTTGTCGAGCTACACCAATCCATGACTGCGACCGGCCCCGTTTTGAGGGAGGATTGCCACTAGACGCAGTACCAAAATCAACATGGGGTCACCTTCACGATCTCCCAGGCGAAAACGATGGATTTGTTCAAGGCGTCCTGAATAGACTGGAGAAGCTACGCGCTCACCCGGAACACTACGATCAATTAGTCGCAAACGATTCCCATGAGTATGCGGCCGGCAGTATCCTTGGAGATCGGAAAGGTCTCGAGGAAAGCATGATCGTCGGTCTCTGGAATGACTTGTACCATCAAGACGAGTGTGACACCGACGCGCTACGCCAACAGGGGCTGCTCAATCCCGAGGATGACTTTGGCGACAATCCAGAGTACCTGAAGGCGAAGAAATTGTGGTGGGAGCAGAAGATGGGCATCCGCGGCATTGAAGCCATTGTCCGATACCACATGGAGCACGTGCGCTCACGGCGACGTCCTAATCGAGCGGCATACTTTCTGACCGAGGAAGATGATGCTACTCTTAACTATGGATCACCGGAATACCCAGCATCGCGTGCTGAACCCGAGGAAGTTCCTAAAGAACATCGATTCTACGACGCCCTTCATGACAGCCCAGTGGATTGGACAGCAAAGTCTGAACGCTGGATTCGGCTGTGGCGTCTTTCAGTTAGCGACATTATCGCTCACAACGACTTCGACGAGGAATGTCGCGAGCCGTACGACGCGCTCGTGGAGTATCAAGACAGCCGCGAACCAGGCTGTGAAGCACACGAAGAGCCAGAAGAGTTTGCACGCCCACTACTTGCGGGGCGCCGTGTTCCTACTTTGGCTGCGCTGGAGCGGGAACGCCGCGATTCGGCTGTTGAGCTGAAAAGCATGACTTCTCCTGCTGCCGGGGTTCCACGAGTTCAGCGTACGCACGGCAGCATTCCAGCGGCTCAAATAATGGCCAAAGACAACGCTTCTGTGTTGAACGCTGCAGCTCGTGAGTCAGGGGGTCTCATGGAGCACATCCGGGGAACTCGCGACGAGGAGGTAGATGATGCCGCTGACGCGGTAGCCAGTGCGCCTTCTCCCAAGTTCCTTGAGGCGTTCCTAAAGAAGAAGAAGAAGGTCATCACACCTTCTCCTAAATTTCTCAAAGCATTCTTGAAGAGAAAGGCCTTCATGGGTGCTATCAAGTCTAGCATCCAAGTTCCGCCTGGCATTCTCGCCGACTATTTGGCAGTTGAGGATGAACTTCGAGATCAAGAATCAGGCATTCCCTGTAACTTGATACAACACAATGTACCCGGTCCTGTCCCTATCCAGGGACGCGTCTGGGTAGGCTCATCGAACCCCGAGATGAGCCGTGATCAACGTCGCGAACAGCAGGTCACTGTTCGCGATGGTATAGCTCTGACCCGACCGAGGAATGATGCGGAGAACCGGTTGATGGATTTACTGCATCTGTCTGTCAGCAAGGCTGACTCCATACATCGCCCTCGAAGGGAATGAAGAGTATCCGCTAGCACCGGCCCACAATCGCATCGGCCCAAGTCACTGCGCTTTAGATATACGAGGTATATTTAAGGAAAGACCGCGGGAGGCCTGGACGAGAGGTAGAGGTGTTGGCGTGTTCGCGTTATCGGCGCTGAGCTTATGACGCGCAGCATTCACAGCTGGAGGTTCGAAGAAGGGCTTAGCTCTCCTCCGGGCAAGATTCGGCATCGCGAGACGTGTCATATGCCGCTATACATATGAGCGTCTGGTGAGATAGAGGAGATTGGAGGTATGAGGTGTGATGGACCACGCGATCGAGACGCGTTGGCTGGATATCGCGAAAGCTCGGGCATACTAGGCAATAGGATACGAAAGTCAAATTCGCTGAGGAAGTGTAGCGCTCTGTTTTCCTTCTTTTGCTGTTGTGAGTGCATTTGCATGCGGACCGGAGTGAAGACAGAGTTGTCGCGACTGAGGTTTGGGAGGAGAGCTGACACCTGGGCAATCGCGCTAGCCGTAATAAGCCATGTGATGACGTAGCGTGATTCTGCTGCTTACCCGTAGCCACAAATCAAGCCTTCTCCGCAAAGCTTGACACGCCATCTCATCTCCACTCAGTACGGGTGTGAGTGTCGGTATCCTTTCATTACTCGTCTGCTTTCGCACCCTCTCTGTGTGGGATCCATCACACATGCGCAGCTGCCCTGTGTTGGGGAATGCAGAGTCAAGTCCTACTGCCGCACCTGCCTCCATTTTCAGCTACACTGTTGGTCAATATTGAGGTCTCATCACAGGTCCTTGTTGCCTCCCGCGATGGACTCTGATCCCGGCTCGTTCCGGCACTACATCAAAAACGCGCGGTGTGCATGGGAGCGCTTCGGGAATAGCAGATCAGACTACTGAGTGTGAACTGTGAGTAAGCTAACGCGGTCAGCTCAGAAGCTCGCCGGTGGCTGCAAAGTCACCATTGCTCAAAGGTTCAAATTTGAAGAGCAAAGAAAGCATCTACTTCGATTTTTTCAAACCCAGAAACCACAATGCCTGGGTAGGTACCGAGTCTGTCTCCGAAGAAAGACAATGATGCAAGACTGAGAGCATTACGCGGTCACCATCGTCACGATCAACAAGATGGGAGTAATTCAAGATCCGAGCAAATCAGACCCCTGTCGCGAACTCGTGGTCAGCCTCATGCTCCGCAGCCAATCTTCAGTTAACCTCGAACCACTAGGCCGCCGGCAGTTGGTGGACATCCCCCGAAAAAACCACAACCCCAGCTATAGACAAGACAATATAGCCAGAACGGGCAAGCTTGATCGAATATCTCATGCACGATCCCGTTCATCGCCGCATGCACGCCAGGGCTATGTGTCCGTTACCTTACTATTCTCAATAGTCATGATGTCGCTTCAGGTGACGTATGCCTTGTGGAGTCAGTGGTCAAGGTATTGAGGTGGTACGATTTTACTGTCGCCCAGTTGTGTATAAGAAGGAGGGTAAGCTATCCATCTACCTAGGTATTCTGCAGTTGCACGGTGAGTTGGTACTGCAACGAGCAATTCCTTTTCAAAATGCTTTATTCCTCATCCGCCGCATTCCTCTACTCCCTGGCAGGTCTTGCCAATGGCCTACCTGCACCTGTACCTCAGGCGTCAGGAGTCTCCGGTGGCTCATCAGTGCCAGGCCCTGTCGATCCCTCGCAAGTCCTGAACATGCCGCTACCCTCTTCAGCATCGGGCTCGTTGCGCGGCTCGGATGACTTGCAAGGGTACAACCCGGCAAACCCAGTCGACATGAAGTCTACAGTCATTCCACCTGAGGACTTCGAACTCGCATCTGGGCAATCAGAAGACGAGGATTTGGGATTGTATATCGATCTCACGAATGTGAAGAACCCACAGCCGATCCGCGGAGGTACTACAGGACCAACTGAACCTGGTCCACGGTAAGTTCTTGGATATATTCAAAGTCTGTACTGTGGCTGATACGTTGATGCAGTACCCCAGCGTATGATCGTCTGAATAGCGACATCTACGCTCCACCCGGCTCCGATATGGGAGAAGTAAGCAATGCGAAATGGCCATTTGGTCTCAGCCATAACCGGCACGGCCTCGCAGGAGCAGGATGGGCGCGATCCCAAAACACCGATCAACTACCATCTTCCGTCGCCATGGCAGGAACAAACATGCGACTAAGCCCCCACGCCTACCGCGAGCTCCACTGGCACAAGCAAGGAGAATGGGCATACATGTACACCCCTCCTCCAACCCAACCACCTAACAAAGCTAACCAAACAATCCCCAGGTTGAACGGCAGCGTACGCATCGCCTCCATGAACGAAGCAGGCCAAACCTTCGTCGACGACGTCCAAGAAGGCGACGTCTGGTTCTTCCCCCCAGGAATCCCACATTCCATCCAAGCCTTCGAAAACGGCTGCGAATTCCTGCTCATCTTCAACGACGGTTCCTTCAGCGAAGAAAACACATTCCTCCTCTCCGAACTCATGCTACGGAACCCAGAATCCGTGGTAGCCAAGAACTTTCGTACGTCGGTCAAAACAGTGCAGAACATGCCTCAAGAACAGTTGTGGATCTTCCCCGGTACCCCCGCGCCGAAAGATATATCGGAGCAAAATGTAACAGGCCCCGCGGGCGTAATACCAAAAGAAGGCGCATACTCCTACCACTGGAGCCAACAAGCCCCCGCCCGCGTCCCCGGCGGCACCATCAAGATCCTCGACCCCTCCACCTTCCCCATCGCATCCACCTTCTCCGCGGCCCTCATCACCGTCGAACCCGGCGCCATGCGCGAAATGCACTGGCACACCACCTCAGACGAATGGTCCTACTTCATCGCCGGCTCCGCCCGCCTCACCGTCTACGAAGCACCCGCCGCATCCCGCACATTCGACTTTACGGCTGGGGATGTGGGCTATGTGCCTGTACCTAATGCGCATTACCTTGAGAATACGGGGGACGAGACGTTGGTTTATCTGGAGGTGTTGCAGAGTAGTCAGTATAGTGATATTAGTGTTAATCAGTGGTTGGGGATTATGCCGAGGCAGATTGTTAAGGATCATCTCAACGTCAATGATCAGTTCCTGGATTCGCTGACTAAGGATCACGATTTCGTTGTTCAGGGGAATAGGGATTTGGGGACGACGGATTTTACGCCGGGGGAGCATGGGGGTGCTTAGGGGGTAGATGGGTGGTGTGCAGATGGAACCTGGGATAGGTAGTGCCTTGTAGCCTCGTACCTAACAATGTAATACATGTAACAATATCCTTCCACATCACCTCCCACCCATTGCCCATCTCTTCCCACCCATCTACCCCAACCTCTCCCTACACAACCCCACCGCCACATCCGCCGTCGCCCCATCAAAGAAATCATTAAGTATCACAACAACCCCCTCCTCCCCCATCAATTTCCTGCCCACCTCCCCCTTCAACAACGGCAGAATCTTATGATCACACACCGGCTTCGTCGCTAGAATCGGACTCGTACTAACATCCGAATCAAGCACACTAGCAATAATCACATCCCTGATATTCGTTGCCGTAGCTTGACACTGTAGCAAGGTGATGGGATGGCCCCTTGGTGGGTCTTCACACATGGAAGACAGTTTCTCGACCATGGAGTCCCCAGTTAGCGTAGCATTTGCAGCGTCGTCGTAGTTGGAGGCTTGGCCGCAATCCTTTAGGATGATAAGCCGGATATTTGACTCGCGAAGATCGTGAATGGATTTGTGCATCATATCCTCCTGATTCCCCGCTCTAAGATCTCTATCGCGAAGGATATCGTTGAGCGCATCTCGTAGTTCGTCGTCGTTAGGCCGGGGACAGTCGCCCGGCACGCCATCCCATCGGTTATGCACAACGATGATCTCGTCTTTGTGATCGACTAGGAAACGCGTTATGTGATCCAGTAACACGCGATACGGCATCCCTGGTATGGCGCCATGTTGGAAATACCATGTATCATCCAAGGGACTGACTTTCTGCATCTGACGATGGCATTTCGCGGGGCGGAACTCGAAGTATCGAGCCCCGATCTTGAGGATGGTGTCGAGAGTGTCTTTTTGGGTTATGGCTAGTGCGCGGATGATGTCTGGTGCGATCCGGTTTATGGCGCCGTCGCCGACTTTGTTGATGATGGTGAGGGCGTGGGGGAGACTGCGGCCGAGGACCTCTTTTATAATGCCTGTGCCGGCGTTTTTGAGGAGGGAGAGACTGCTCGACATGTTGTTCATGCCGATGTCGTGGGCGGAGGGGAGGACCATCTTGTGGAAGGGGCGGTTGGACTTGTTTGAGCCTTGGGGTATGATGTCGCGCATCCAGTTCTCGTAGTTCTTTGTGACGGTCACGTAGCATTGGTGTTGTTTTGGTAGCTCGGCTAGACCTGGTCCGGCATCGTAGAACCCGTATGAGATTATGAGGTCGTTGGCGAAGATGCTGGGTGTTTGTTCCATGTTGACCATTGAGCCGTCTTCTAACTTGCCCGTCATGCTGTTGATTGCGACCCATTGTTTTGTGAGCTCGCGGTCATCCTGGCGAACAATAAATTCAAAGTTTCCGGTGAACTTGAAATGGGGCAAGTTGGATGACTCTACTTCGAGATGATCGTGGAGGAATTGGTGTTGATCGCCTCTCTTGACATTCCCCTTTGGCACCGTGTACTCAACTTCGACTCCATCCACTGCGATGTAGGTGAAACATCTTACACCCTTGGAAGGCATTTCCAACTCTTGTTCTTCTCTTTCCAATAGTGTTGTAGATGTATTGTTCGCACTAGATCAATCTAAACCTTTAGCGGGTCTATGCTGGGAGGATCAGAGATGTGCAACATGTTGAGCTAGGGAAGCGGGGCATCATCTCATATAGCACAACAGCGGGCGATCCGTCAGCCACGCGTTTTCAGCTCTGTCTAGACTCTACGGGTCGTTAGCGGTGGCTTAGCTGTGGTGTTGAAGTGGGGGAAGCCGCTGGGCGCACCAATTAGGCCCAGCAGCCATGGCA